TCCTTGATCTTACGGGGGGGCAGGAGGTCCCAATCCTCCTCCAGACTGCCCGATTCCACCCGCGCGTTGTCGATCTTCACCTCGTAGGTGTTGTCGGGCCGCACCACCAGCGTGTACAGGTGGGTGAACTCATCGTCCTGCGGGGAGGGAGGGGCTCAGCGGGGTCGGGGACCCCTCCACGGGGCAGGGCCGGCTCGCCCACGTGCCCCCCGCGCACCCGCCCACCTTGCAGCGGATGTCCTTGTTGATCAGGACGTTCTTCCCTTTGTAGTTGAAGATGACGTGGACCTTCTTGGTGCCGGGGCCGCAGATATCAGGGCCTGGAGGGGGACGGGGGATGAGGAGGGGCCCCCACACAGCACCACGGAGGGCCACGGGGGCGAGACCAGGGACCCACCAAACATGATGTTGTACTCGGAGTCACCGTGCATGTCCTCCTGGTTCAGGCTGGATGGGAAGAGCTTGACGTAACCGCCGCCGCAGTCGATGTTCTGCTCGTGCTTCACCGTGAACTGCACCACCAGCGTCTTGTCCCGGTTGCTGAAGGGCTCGAAGCGGGAGGAGATGGCATAGAACCGGGCGTCCTGGCTCGTCTGGATCCCTGCGGGAGGTGGGTGTGTTGGGATGGAGGGGGGAGGACTCTCAGCCCCAGGGGTCTCCACCTGGCACGGTGCAGCCCCGGGGATCCCCCTCACCTTTGTCCTTCTCAGCGTCGCCGTAGAACTTCCCAGCCGTGAGCACAAACCGGCCGTAATCAGACTTGTGCTTCGATTCCACCCACCGGCGGGTCCAGGCGTCTGCGGGAGAGAAGCGCTCAGGACACCGAGCCCTTCCCCACGGCTGGAGAGGTGGTTTTGCCCCACCTCCCACCCCAGAGCAGCTCCCCAGACCCATCACGCTCCAGTGGAGCCCATCGAAGCCAGGGCTGGGTCCCCACATCCCTGCGAGCCCCAGAGGGAGCTCAGGTGTCTCTTGCTGTGGGGCTGCAGGAGGATTTGGGGTCCCAGGGAAGGACAAACCCCCAGCATGAGCCAGCTCTTGTCCGGTCTCTCCCCCCCTCTTTGGGCAACACCCCAGACCCCAAATGACACCCCCTGTGAGGGACCCCAACTCCTGACAGACTCCATC